GACAGTACCAGTGTGTGTCTCTCTCTCAGACAGTACCTCTGTGTGTCTCTCTCTCAGACAGTACCTGTGTGTCTCTCTCAGGGCAGCTGTGGCCTTGGTGTTCTCCTCCTGTATCTGTTTCAGTCTCTCTGTCACCTGCTGCTCCACCGACACCTTCAGCTCCACCTCCATCTTGGTGCGCTCCGCCTCAAAACGCGCCTGTGTTGCACACACAGGACACACACACCCTCACCATGAGATCCTCTGCTCGAGCCCCACACGTGTGTACCCCACCCCCACTCTGCTGTGCTCCTGTTCTTCCACATCCCCGGTGGCCCCGAGTGTGTGTGCTGAGGATGACCGGGGATAACCCCTTCCAGAGACAGGCTGGCCAGGTCATTCGGACACACAAAGAGCACCCACACCCCTGAGACGCAGAGAGGGGCTCCGGTCCCACCTCGGCCAGCGCCCTGTCCATCGCCGCGCTGTCCCGGGCCCTCTGCGCTTCCTCCAGCTCTCTCTCTGCACGCTGCACCTCCTCCTGGACTGACGCCAGGACCCTCTGGGTGTCCTGGGCCCGCTGAGCCTCCCGCTCTCGGCTGGCCTGTGGGGAGACGGGGAGGGCGTCAGTGCGCAGTAAACACACCGTGCCCTGCAGTGACCTCTTGCACTGCACTGCAATCAGCTGGAGTCTGCACCGGACTGAGTGCACTCTGTGTTCACAGTGTAGTCTCAAATTGCTAGAATCCAACAATACATCATATTGATCAACACTGCACTACACTGGACTGTTACTGTAATACACCATACTGATCAATACTGCACTACACTGGCCTGTTACTGTAATACACCATACTGATCAATATTGTAGTACACCATACTGATCAATATTGTACTACACTGTATTGTTACTGTACTACGCCATACTGATCAATACTGCACTACACTGTATTGCTACTGTACTACGCCATACTGATCAATACTGCACTACACTGTACTTACTGTACTACACTATACTGATCAATACTGCACTACACTGGACTGATACTGTTATGCACCATCCTGATCAATTCTGTGTTATACTGTACTACACTGTACTGTATTGTACAGTGTACCACACTCCAGTATACTGTATCATACTGTGCTACTCTATGTCACACTGCACTGTATCACACCCTGCATGGCCATACCTTCTCGTTATCGAGCTGGGCCATAAACTCTGCCTCCTGCCGGGCGAGGCGGTCCTCCAGCTCCCTCTCCCTCCTGTCCCAGGATGCTCTGTGCTGGTCGAGGCTGGCATGTGCCGCCTCCCTGGCCCTGGTGGCCTCGTCTCTCTGCTCCTCCAGAGCCTGGCAGCGCCGCGCCACCTCCTCCAGCCTCCGGGAGAGCTCGCCCACCTGCTGCTCCTGGGGAAACACAGCAACCGCTGCCGTCATGGCGACAGCCATCATCTCCAGGACAACCTCCAGAGGGCCCAGCCGTTGTGCAGAGGGGACAGGCATGTGTGGGTTTCAATGATGACTGCTCACAACGTACCGAAACGAAACACCGAACACGACCATGACGTTGACCCGCCTGCTGTGCTCGCGCAGGGAGAGGAAGAGGAGGGGCCTGCAGGCTCCTCCGACACGCCCACGCACGCCCAGGAGATGGAGTGCCACCTAGAGGAGCACCACGCCTGTTGTCTACGTCACCGCGACCCAGCGAGAAGCCCGTTTCCAGCCCTCACCTCTCGATCTGGGTGCCCCAGGGCTCGTGACATGACACTTACAGCTCAGCCTGCACTTGGGACAATGGGAGCCGAGAAGACCATCAGGAACAACTTACAAGCGACCCCTTTCTTCAGAAACAGGTTTAGGGTGACCTGGCGCCCAGGTTTCCACCCTGCACCTGAAGGACCCTGAGACCAGCTGACCTCTGACCCCTTCCTCAGCAACTGGCATCAACACTGAGCCAGACTCTGGCTTCTCCTGCCCTCAGTCTGGGTGGGAGTGTAGGTCTCTGGGCCCCTGCAGGACAGTGTCGCCTTCTCTCTGGCTGGGAGAGTCTGATCCAAGAGAGGCGAGGCTGGACACAGCGCTGATTGCTACTCATCCCGAGAACAATAGACCTTCCTCTAACTGGACACTGAGCACGGACACAGGCCTGTCCTGGGACAGAGCTCTGAATGCTACTCATCCTCAAGACGGCTGCTAGCACGGCTCAGTGAGTAAGCTAGGCAGGGCCACACGTGCAGGTCACTCTGGAAGCGTGGCGGTGCCATCCCTCACTCACCAGCCGCTGGTTCGTGGCCCGCAGCTCTTCAGCCTGCCTCTGCTCGCGATCCAGGGTCTCGGCGGCCTGGGCCAGGCTCTCCTCAAACCGTGACAGCATCTGCACAATCGCACACAAACCCGATCAGACCTGAGCAGCACCACTCGCTCCCGGCTCACAGTGTTCACTCTGAGTTTCAATCCCAGAATTTCAGAAGCTGAAGACCTGATCTTTACAGGTCCTAAAGATAGACAGACAGGTCCCATGAGAGTGGACAGTGAGGGACAGACAGGTCGCAGTAGAGTGGACAGTGAGGGACACAGGCAGACATGTCCCAGTAGAGTGGACAGTGAGGGACGGAGACAGATGGGTACCAGTAGGGTGGACAGGGATGGAGGGAAACAGACAGGTCCCAGTAGGGTGGACAGTGAGGGATGGAGACAGATGGGTAACAGTAGGGTGGACAGTCAGGGACACAGGTAGACAGCTCCCAGTAGAGTGGACAGTGAGGGAGACCGACAGGTCCTGGTAGAGTGGACAGAGAGGGAGACAGACAGGTCCTGGTAGAGAGGACAGTGAGGGAGGGAGACAGACAGGCCCCAGTAGAGTGGACAGGGAAGTATACAGTTTGTGGAAGACAGGGGAAGATGTTAATGAAGCGCCCAGTTGTGTAGATGGATGGACAGAGGGACAATCTGATGAGAGGGTCAGACAGAGAGATGACCAGACAGACAGTCAGTGCTGTTGTGATGGGCACAGAGCTGACCAGATGGACAGTCAGTGCTGCTGTGATGGACAAACACAGAGCTGGCCAGACGGACAGTCAGTGCTGTTGTGATGGACACACACAGAGCTGACCAGACGGACAGTCAGTGCTGTT